CCTCTTCCTCCTCCTCGTTGTTCCGCTCCTCCTCCCTCCTCCTCCTCCTCCTCCTCCTCCTCCTCCTCCTCCTCCTACTACTCCTACTCCTCTGAATTCCTCCTTCTCCTCCTCCTCCCCTTCCTCCTCCTCCTCCTCTTCCGCTTCTTCCTCCTCCCCCCTCCTCCTTGCGGCTGTCCCTGGGCCCCCCTCTCCCCGCGGTGGCCTTGCATGTGTCGTTCTTGTCGATGTTGGGTGCCGCCCTACGACTCGGCGGCGCGGGCGCCGCGCGGGCACCGGTGGCTGGCGGGACGTTGCCGAAGGCAATTTACTAGATATCGCACGCGCGTGGGGCACGATGCGCGGGAGGGGCGCGCCGTTCTATCTTGATATCGCACGCGCGCTGGGCACGATGCGCGCGAGGGGTGCGATATCGCGCGCATGTGGGGCACGATGCGCGTGAGAAGTACATGCCGCGCGCATGTGGGGCGCGACGCGCGTGAGAAATGTATGCGCGAATGATAAACATACTTAATATGATAATATTGCAGTTAACATGATATGTCGCATATGCTTATAATAACTTCCAACTCTCAAAATAACCGCGAACGCTTAAAACAACCGCTAACGCTTAGTTTAACCGTTGCCTTGTTTAACAAGAACTGAACGCTTATTTTAGCAAGTCTAGGCCTTCTGGGAGGGCGCCTCCCCCGATCCGTGGATCTGGCGACCGCGCGCCAAATCCCTGGATCGCCAATCCGTGCTTGCGCGATTTCCGCCGCCGAACGAGGCGGCACCGGTCGCATTTTGGGGGGGGCGCCTCCCCCGATCCGTGGATCTGGCGACCGCGCTCCAAATCCCTGGATCGCTAATCCGTGCTTGCGCGATTTCCGCCGCCGAACGAGGCGGCACCGGTCGCATTTTGGGGAGGCCGCCCCCCCCGATCCATTGAATCTGGCGACCGCGCGCCAAATCCTGGATCGCTAATCCGTGCTTGGCGGATTTCCGCCGCGAACGAGGCGGCCAACCGGTCGCATTTTTGGGGAGGTCGCCTCCCCCGATCGTGGATCTGGCGACCGCGCGCCAATCTTTTGATCGCTAATCCGTCTTGCGCGATTTCCTTCCGCCGCGAACGAGGCGGCAACCGTCGCATTTTGGGGAGTGCACCTCCCCCTATCGGATCTGGCACCGCGCGCCAATCCCTGGATCGCTAATCCGTGCTTGCGCGACTTCCGCCGCCGAACGAGGCGGCACTGGTCGCATTTTGGGGAGGGCACCTCCCCCGATCCGTGGATCTGGCGACCGCGCGCCAAATCCCTGGATCGCTAATCCGCGCTTGCGCGATTTCCGCCGCCGAACGAGGCGGCACCGGTCGCATTTTGGGGAGGGCACCTCCCCCGATCCGTGGATCTGGCGACCGCGCGCCAAATCTTTGGATCGCTAATCCGTGCTTGCGCGATTTCCGCCGGCGAACGAGGCGGCGCCAGTCGCATTTTGGGGAGGGCACCTCCCCCGATCCGCGGATCTGGCGACCGCGCGCCAAATCCCTGGATCGCTAATCCGTGCTTGCGCGATTCCCGCCGCCGAACGAGGCGGCACCGGTCGCATTTTGGGGAGGGCACCTCCCCCGATCCGTGGATCTGGCGACCGCGCGCCAAATCTCTGGATCGCTAATCCGTGCTTGCGCGACTTCCGCCGCCGAACGAGGCGGCACTGGTCGCATTTTGGGGAGGGCACCTCCCCCCGAATCCATGCATTGGCGACCGCGCGCCAAACCCTGGATCGCTAATCCGTGCTTGCCGCGATTTCCGCCGCGAACGATGCTGCACCGTCGCATTTTGGTAGTGCACCTCCCCCGATCCGTGGATCTGGCGAAACCTTAGCTGCCCCCCCTGATCGCTAAATCCGTGCTTGCGCGATTTCCCGCCGGCGGAACGAGGCGGGCACCGGTCGCATTTTGGGGAGGGCGCCTCCCCCGATCCGTGGATTTGGCGACCGCGCGCCAAATCTTTGGATCGCTAATCCGTGCTTGCGCGACTTCCGCCGCCGAACGAGGCGGCACTGGTCGCATTTTGGGGAGGGCACCTCCCCCGATCCGTGGATCTGGCGACCGCGCGCCAAATCCCTGGATCGTTAATCCGTGCTTGCGCGATCTCCGCCGCCGAACGAGGCGGCACCGGTCGCATTTTGGGGAAGGCACCTCCCCCGATCCGTGGATCTGGCGACCGCGCGCCAAATCCCTGGATCGCTAATCCGTGCTTGCGCGATTTCCGCCGCCGAACGAGGCGGCACCGGTCGCATTTTGAGGAGGGCACCTCCCCCGATCCGTGGATCTGGCGACCGCGCGCCAAATCCCTGGATCGCTAATCCGTGCTTGCGCGATTTCCGCCGCCGAACGAGGCGGCACCGGTCGCATTCTGGAGAGGGCGCCTCCCCCGATCCGTGGATCTGGCGACCGCGCGCCAAATCCCTGGATCGCTAATCCGTGCTTGCGCGATTTCCGCCGCCGAACGAGGCGGCACCGGTCGCATTTTGGGGGGGGCACCTCCCCGAGCCGTGATTCGGCGACCGCGCGCCAAATCCCTGGGATCGCTAATCCGTGCTTGCGCGATTTCCCGCGGCGAGCCGAGGCGGCGCCGGTCGCATTTGGGGGAGCACCTCCCCCGATCGTGATCTGCTGGCGACCGCGCGCCAAGCCTAGGATCGCTTCCCTGCTTGCGCGATTTCCGCCCCGAACGAGCGGCAACACGGTCGCATTTTGGGGAGGGCACTCCCCCATCCGTGATCTGGCGACCGGCGGCGCCAAATCCCTTGGATCGCGTATCCGGCTTGCGCGTTCGCCGCCGAACGAGGCGGCACCGGGTCGCATTTTGGGGAGGGCACCTCCCCCGATCGCGTGGGATCTGGGAACGCGCGTCCAAATCCCTGGATCGCTAATCCGTGCTTGCGCGATTTCCCGCCGGCAGAACGAGGCGGCACCGGTCGCATTTTGGGGAGGGCACCTCCCCCGATCCGTGGATCTGGCGACCGCGCGCCAAATCCCTGGATCGCTAATCCGTGCTTGCGCGATTTACGCCGCCGAACGAGGCGGCACCGGTCGCATTTTGGGGAGGGCACCTCCCCCGATCCGTGTTCTGGCGACCGCGCGCCAAATCCCTGGATCTCTAATCCGTGCTTGCGCGCTTTCCGCCGCCGGGACGAGGCGGCACGCGGTCACATTTTGGGAGGGCACATCCCCCATCCGTGGATCTGGCGACCGCGCGCCAAATCCCTGGATCGCTAATCCGTGCTTGCGCGATTTCCGCCGCCGAACGAGGCGGCACCGGTCGCATTTTGGGGAGGGCACCTCCCCCGATCCGTGGATCTGGCGACCGCGCGCCAAATCCCTGGATCGCTAATCCGTGCTTGCGCGATTTTCGCCGCCGAACGAGGCGGCACCGGTCGCATTTTGGGGAGGGCACCTCCCCCGATCCGTGGATCTGGCGACCGCGCGCCAAATCCCTGGATCGCTAATCCGTGCTTGCGCGCCCCCGATACGCCTGCACTGGTCCTGGCCGGGCCGATCCCTGGCCCAGGGCCCGCGTATAGGTCCTCTTGCCCACGCCGCAGGAGGGCGCAGTCGCCGGCCCCGGGCCCCGGGGGGGCCCAGACAGGATCGGTGCTGGTGTGCAGTGTTCAGTCCCAGACGCCCTCGCGCGAAGGAAAAAATGGCAACTGCAGGTTTTTCAAAAAAAATTCGGCCTCTGGGGGCCCTTGCCGGGCCTCGGGACCGTGAAAGAGCGGTTCAGGATGAAAACCCAGGCCCGGGGGCGGAAAAGAGGGGGGTGATGATTAGGGGGGGTGGATATCATGGCGTGGGTCATGATATTTTCCCAGATTTCATGGCGCCTCTTCTTATTTCATTACTTCCCTGGCCCTCCCCGCAAGGCCGCGCACATGCCGCCGGTCATGATTTGCGCCCCCCCCTCTTTGACGCCCCCCCTTTTGCCGCTCCCGAAGTGTGCAGTCCCAGACGCCCTCGCGCGAAGGAAAAATGGCAACCGGAGGTTTTTCAATATTTTTTCGGCCTCAGGGGGCCCTTGCCGGGCCTCGGGGCCGTGGAAAAGCGGTTCGGGCTGAAAACCCAGGCCCGGGGGATGGGTCCGGGATTTTCGGGGGTCGGATCATGAACAGATCATGACGTCGGCGGTGTCTGGGGTTGGCACCCTTGTAGAGCTGCAGGAATGCGCCACCCGTTCCTGCCTCGGTCCGAGCCTCAGTGGGCACTGGCGACGCCAGGGCCGGTTTTGTTACCGGTTCTGCTTTGCCGTTTTGGTTGCCGGTTCCGTCGCTGTTCTTCCCAACCATCCTATGGTATTGGGCCCTCGTTTTGAAGAGACAGCGCCCCGCGTTCCTCCTCTCCTCCTCTCCTCTCCTCTCCTCTCCTCTCCTCTCCTCTCCTCTCCGCCTCCTTCCTCCTCCCTCCCCCGCAGTTTGCATGCGGTGCTCCTATCCAGTACAGCCTTTCGTGGCCCGATAGGGAGCTCCACCGAAGGTCCCATTGGCGCAGCCCGCATGCGTTTCCCACGCCCAGTACAGCGCTTCGTGGCCCGAAAGGGAGCTCCACCGAAGGTCCCAGTGACGCAGCCCGCATGCGTCTCTCACACCGAGCACAGCTTGTCGTGGCCCCGTAGGAAGCTACACCGAAGGTCCCATTGCCGCAGCCCGCATGCGTCTCCCACAACCCAAACAGCCTTCTGTGGTTCCACAGGGAGCCCCCCCGAAGGTCCCAGTGGCGCAGCCCGCATGCGTCTCCTCCACCAAGTACAGCGCTCCGTGGCCTCTTGGGGAGCTCCACCGAAGGTCCCAGCGGCGCAGCCCCCATGCGTCTCCCCCACCCAGGACAACGTTTTCGTGGCCCTATACGGAACTCCACCGAAGGTTCCAGCGGCGTAGCCCGCATGCGTCTCCCCCACCCAGTACAGCGCTTCGTGGCCCTACCAGGGGACCCCACCGAAGACGATACCTACAACTGCGGTGTTCACAACTGCAGATGGTTGGGTCCTTCGCCAGGCTTTGTCGTCCGATCGGCTCCGTCGTCGTTTTTGTTGTCTGGTTCTGGCTCCAGCTCGAACTTCGGAGCCGTTTTTGGTCGCCGTTTTATTGCTGTTTCCATATTCGAGAGATTCTTCTTTCGGAAGCAGTGAAAATCGGCCCTGCCGTTTCCGGGGCCACTAAGGTCCGAGCCGAGGTCTACTGAGTGCCCATCAGGGTGGCGCTGACGACCCGTGAACGGGGAGCAACGCGCACCGGAAGATTTGCCAGACCGACGACGCCATTGCTTCTTGTTCAGTGGAAGCGTTTCTGTTCAGAAGAAGCCGGCGCTTAAAGGTTACCTTCGGGCCTGGGTATTGTCAAAGACGATCCAGGATGAAATGACGGTCCCACGTGTGCAGTCGGGAGTTCCACGGGGCCCTTTGTGGTGAAAGAACATGGCGTCGGAGGTCGAGGTTGTTGTACAGCCAGACGCGTGCAACACGCGTTTCTGGGCAGCATTAATTCTGCACCTCGACATCTTCTTGGGCGCTGGGTGGGAGTGGGCCCTAGATGAGGGCGAGGAGGAGGGCGGAAGGTAATACACCACAACAAAGACAAAATATCTGTTCAGCAGCAGCACCCGCACAGCCTGGCACCTCCTAAGAAGGCCGCTGGATAGCGATCTACTTGGTTGTCGACATGTCGAGCCTCTACTATATTTCGACCCCTCTCCTATCCAACAATCCCACCCACGGCCAACATAACTTTCAAAATGCATCTACATATGCGGCAATACTGTATCAGCTCTGACTCCACACACGAATAGTCGAATGAACTAGAATTGCCCGATTGAACTCCATCGAACTCCATTGGACTCGATTGGCTTTCATTTGACCTCATGGGGATCAATTGGGTTGCATTGAACTTCCCTGGCCTCCATTGGGCTCCGTTGGACTCCAGTTGGCCCCAATGGACTCCACCAGAGCCCATGGGACTCCATCGGACGTCACCGGTCGCCATTTGACTCCCTCGGACTGCTGTGGATCTGGACTCCATTGGACTCCTTTTTAGACAACATCGGACCCTGTACGACTCCAGTGGTCTCTGTTGGCTCCCCATGGGGCTTTATTTGGCTCCAGACGACTCGGCAGCCTTTGGGGGACCCCGTCCAGGAGTTCCTTCAAGACTGCTTCAGGACGGTCCAGCACCCTCCCGAGACAGTCTGCGACCCGCGACCAGTCCAGGACAGTCCAGGACCAGCCCAAGAGGGCGCCAATACTGTTCAAGACGGCCCCAGGATCCCCACTCTAGACGACACACACGGAAGGGCCCTCCCCCAACAGGTACCTCTCGCGTCGTGGGGTGCACGTCCGGAGGACGTAGAGAGTGGGCGTTGGGTGGTTTGCCCTTCTCGTTTGCAGTGCTATTCTACCGTTTCGTTCTGCCCGCCCCGGGGCGCTGCCAGCGCACCAGGGGGCAGATGCGCGCCCCCTCGCTTCAGCCCCGGGACGAGCGTGCGAACGTCCACGAGGGCAACGAGCATTCACCGCGTGCCAGCACAACGCAACGCAAATGTCAAACTCCGATGACCGTAGCGACGACGCGTCATTCGTATACAAATCCGTGGGCCGCTTGGTGGTTTCTTTGGGCCATTTTGAAGGCCCCTTGGAGGTTTCTTGAAGGCTTCTTGGGGGTCCCTGGGTGCCTCTTGGGGGCCTCTTGGGGGCTTCTTGGGGCCTCTTAGGATTTATTTGGGTCGTCTTGGGGCGCTCTTGCGCCGTCTGGCCTCTTCGGAGGCCGTCTTGCGGGCCTCTTCTGGCAGCTTCGGAGCTCTCTTGGGTGGGGTCCTCTTGGGCCGTCTTGGGGGCCTCTTGAGTCATCTTGTGGTCCTCTGTGGGCCATCTTGGAGCCCTCTTGGGCCATCTGATGGTTCTCTTAGGAGCGTCTGGGGCTGTCTTGGAGCCATCTCTGAGGCTGCTTAAGCCGTCATAGACCCCCCAGAGTCGAAAAACGTGAGAACGCGTACGCCTTTTAAAACCTGGAGGAAAAGGTTGTTGTTGGTCTCTGGAGGTGCTATTATGGGCCCCCTTGTGTTCCTTTGGGGCCGTTATGGGGGCCTCTTGGGCCCTCTTGTGGCCATCTTGGGCTATCGTTGGGCCGTCTTGGGCTGTCTGGAGGCCATGATGAACCGTCTGGATGCCCTTCTGGAGCCCAAAGAGGCCTTGGAGGCCGATGCCATAATATGGTTTCCATATGTATTGGTACGTTGTGAGTTCCAGAAAGGGTGGGAGTCCGGGGGGGTTAAGCCGAGATTCGTAATGATGTAGAGTGCTACAACATGTGCCGCCTCCCGCTCATTCACCTCTCGCCCGATTCTCTTCTATATACAGAAACCCCCGATCATTCGCAGAGAGCCCGATGTTTGCAGGATGCTGTTGACGAACATGCAGCTTTTACATCGCATAATCGGGTTCAAAGACAGAAACTCAGTGTGTGTGTGTGTGTGTGGTGTGTGTGCACGTGTGTGGGGGTGTGGGTGTGAGTGTGTGTGTGTGTCTGTGTGTGTCTGTGTGTGTGTGTTCGAAGGTTGTGTGTTTAAGGTGTTGAAGAGGTATGTGTGTTTGGTGCGTGGCGTCGCGATCTGCGTGTTCTGTGCGCTCGCAGCGAGACGGCCCATCGCCTCTGAACTCTACTCCCTCGGGCAGGTGCGCACGATATTAGACACGCACACACGTGTATATATATGTATATATATATATATGAATATGGACAGAGATGTCTATATGAACATTTTTCTATACACAAATACACAGAAAGTGTAAATGCTTCTCAAGGAATGCGGCGATTCTTGCTTGTTGGGGCCCTCCGTGGTGGTCCTCTTGAAGCCCCCTGGTGGCGTCTTGGAGTGCTTTGGGTACCATCTGGGAGCACGTGGGGGATGCAGTGGAGACCCATGCCAAGAAACACCCTGCTCGCCTCCAGGGTGCCCTGGGTTTCTTGGGTTTCAATGGTATTGCTGTGGAAAGCCTGACGTTCCCATTCGAAAAATCAATCGACGTCCTGGGGTCTCGGGGTTGGGTTTCTTGTAAGGTTTCTTGTGGACTGGCCTCCACTCTAGTTGAATCGTCTGGGACCCCCAGGGAGCCGCTCCGACGCCGTCAGAGGCGGCCCAGGAGCGTTTCTGAGGTGGCCGAGGCCGCCTTTCTGTAGCACCCCCCCCCACCACACCCCTCCAAGCTGGCCGGCCGGGTTCCTGGGGGAGGGGTCTGGGACAAGGTCCAAAGGGGTCGGCCCAGAGAGGCTCTTCAGAGCCCCCAGGAGGCTCGTCAGAGGCCCCAAGACCTTCCCTGCTTCACCGTTCTCGAGTACGCATATACTCTGGAGAACCCTTGGCTGTACTAAAGCCCGCCTGGCCGCACCACAGCCCATCTGGCCGCAGCAGAACCTTGTCTCCATGCTGGGGGGGGCCCGAAAATACACTCGAAAAGGCTTGCGAGAGGCATTGAGGCGGGCGCCAACTGCAATGTGGACTTGACGGGCGGCCATGGTTCCTCAACGGAGGTTGAGGGGTGTAGCCTTTGAGCGAGGGTTGAGGAGTGCAGGGGCAAAGGATGAAGGGCAGGATGGGTAGCAAGAGGAGGTGTGTAGGAGGGGGGCGGCGGGAAGAAAAGGGAGCAGCGCCAGTGTGATTGTGAGAGGGGGCGAGAGAAATGGAACGCGGAGGACGAGGCAGGGAGGGAAGAATCCTCCGCCTCCTCTTACTCCTCCTCTTACTCCTCCTCCTACTCCTCCTCCTTCTCCTTGGGGGGAGGAGGAACGCCACTTTCGTGAGAGTTCTTGGGTTTGCTGGCCACTTGGGCATCCTCCGGGTCGTTCGCCCGGGGCGATCCACTGCCTGGGGCGCAGTGGGGCTTTTTGGAAGCGGCGGGCCTGGCATGCGCAGACGTCCGTTGCCTCCTTCTGCAGGGATGGGACGACGCGAGAACGTGAAGAAAACCACCGCGTTTCGAGTCGCGAAGCGCAGGGTTAGGTGGATTTCTAAGGCCTTACGGCCGGTGCCGCCGACCCTTCAGGCTTCGGCCCTCGGCGGAAATGGGAGGGAGAGGGCGGGCAATGGGACCCGGGAGGGTGGTATTCTGACCCGGACCCCCCCCCCCGGGACCCCTACCCCACCCCCCTTCCGCGGGGAAGGGATCAAAGGGAAGGGGCTTCCCTTTCGACTCAATGGCAATGTTGCTTAATTTCGCTGTAGATGGGCTGGTGTATTTCGATTTGGCTGGCGCGCTTGAGGACGACGGCCCAAGGAAAGGGGGGGGAGCGGCGACGGACTCAGGGGAAGGAGGGGGCGTGATGGCGGCGGCGACTCGACGGCGGCAGCGACGGCGATGGCGACGGAACAGCCCTTGTCACGCGCCGGCAGGGTCGGCGGATTCGCTTACTCCTGTCCTCTGCTTTTTCGTGGGTTGTTGACCCCACGTCTAGGCTGCAACTCTTGGGGCGTTCACTTCAGCATCGCCGCTGGCAGATCCGTGGTAGAAAAGTCAGCCAATCCCGGCATGATCCAGCTAAGGTCCTTCTAATCTGGCTTAATCCTGGGCCCACTCCAGCTTACTTCGGTTCAGTGGCCCCGTAGCCGTACTCAATATTATAGTTCGAGGAGAAAAACATACACTTTTGGCGCTCCGCGCGGATTTCCTGGATCCGCACAGGGCCCAGGAAGTTTATGTTTATGTGTTGTTGTTCCTTCTAGCTTCACCCCGCTTACTTCACTGGGCGCGTTCCAATACTCGCAAACTGCCTACTCGCAAAAGTCCTGACACAAACCATGTTCGCTGGCGGAGCCAGGACATTTGCGAGTAGTTACTTGGCGAGTAGTGGAACGCGCTCGTCTATCAATCCCGCTGGATCCAGCTTGATCCCGCCCAATCTGGCTCAATCCCGCTTAATCCGCGGCCGCATTTGGCGTAGCAGGCCCCCAATGGGGCTCAATCTTCCTTCCTCCAAGCAGGTTGCCTCATAAAGTCAACCCGCATAGTAAGGTGATCGTTCTTTTATTATTATTTTTTGCTTTCGGCGGAACCCCCCGCCCCCCCCCCCCCCGTAGAGAAGTTATGGGCTGATTTCGGCACCTGCTTCAGTCGAGCGTACCCTTGCATCCCTGCCTCCTGGGCCCACCCTTGGCCACGTTCGTTGGCTGCGCCCAGCTCGAAAAGCTTCGACAACGGCCTTCCGAAGCCCGTGCATGCATCATCATCGTGCATCCTCATTGTACGGGTCGACTAACCCATCGTTTATTTTCGTCCGCCGCTTCTTGGGAGAGTGCATTCCGCCGCCTCCTCCTCCTCCTCCTCCTCCTCCTCCTCCTCCTCCTCCTCCTCTTCGTCCTCCCCCTCCTCCTCCTCCTCCTCCTCCTCCCTCCGCCTCCTCCTCATCCCTCCTCCTCCTCCTCCTCCTCCTCCTCCTCCGCCTCGCCTCCGCCCCTCCTCCTCTCCTTCCCCTCCTCCTCCTCCTCCTCCTCCTCCTCCTCCGCTCCTCCCCTCCTCCTCCCCTCCTCACTCCTCCTCCTCCTCCTCCCCCTCTCCTCCTCCTCCTCCTTCTCCTCCTCCCTCCTCCCCTCCCCCTCCCCTCCCCCTCCTCCCCCTCGCTCCTCTCCTCCTCTCCTCCTCCTCCTCCTCCTCCTCCTCCTCCTCCGCCTCCTCCTCCTCCTCCTTCCTCCTCCTCCCTCTCCTCCTCTCCTCCTCCTCCTCCTCTCCCCTCCTCCTCCTCCTCCTCCTCCTCTCCTCCCCGCCTCCTCCTCCCCTCCTCCTCCTCCTCTCTCCTCCTCCTCCTCCGACCCTCCTCCTCCTCCTCCTCCCTCCTCCTCCTGCCTCCTCCTCCTCCTCTCCTCCTCCTCCACCTCCCTCCTCTTCCTCCTGCTTCGCCTCCTCCCCCTCCCCCCCTCCTCCTGGCCTCCTCCTCCTCCTCTCCTCCTCCTCCTCCTCCTCCTCCCTCCTCCTCTCCTCCCCTCCTCCTCCTCATCCCCCTCCTCCCACCTCCTCCTCCTCCTGCTCCTCCCTCCCTTCCTCCTCCCCCATCCCCTCATCCTCTGCTCCTCCCTCCTCCTCCCTCCTCATCCTCCTCCTCCCTCCGCCTCCTCCTCCTCCTCCTCCTTCTCTCTCTCCTCTCCTCCTCTCCTCCTCCTCTCCTCTCCGCCTCCTCCGCCTCCTCCTCCTCCTCGCCTTCCTCCTCCTCTCTCTCCTCCTCCTTCCTCCTCCTCCTCCTCCTCCTCCTCCTCCTCCCCTTCGTCCTCGGGCATCTGCGGGCATCGCGTCAGGGCATCCCAGGCTGGAGAAGTGGTTCGCTCGCGCGCCCAGCACGCTCGGGGAGCGGCGCTGGGCCAACCGCCAGCTGGAGCGGCGCTCCCGCGGGGGGAGGCGGGGCGGCTCCGGAAAAGCTCCCTTTCGCGCGGAAGGGCGTGCGCGCGGCCGCGCCGTGGAGGAGGAGGAGGAGGAGGAGGAGGTGGAGGAGGAGGTGGAGGAGGACGAGGAGGACGAGGAGGACGAGGAGGAGCAGGAGGAGGAGGAGGAGGAGGAGGAGGAGGATCGAAGACGAAGAAACGGCATGAAAATGAACTGTTGACGCTCCGCGCGGATTTCTTGCATCCGCGCTGGGCCCCTCCGGCGCCACCCCTGGCGCGCTCCGAGCGCCAAGGAGAGGGGGTCCAGCGTGGATGCAAGAAATCCGCGCGGAGCGTCAAAAGTTAATGTTTAACCAGATTGTTCTTTCTAGAGTTCCAGAGGAGGAGGAGGAGGAGGAGGAGGAGGCGGAGGAGCAGGAGGAGGAGGAGGATGACCAGGAGGAGACATGAGGAGGAGGAGAAGGAGGAGGAGGAGGAGGAGAAGGACGAGGGAGAAGGAGGCCGAGGGGGGAAAGAAGGAAGGAACCAGCTGGAAGCCACGAAGTCCCGTTCATGAGCAGCTGTTGCGTGACCGTGCTGTCTTCGCCGCTGCTGGGGCAAGTCGTGCCCCCGTCTTTGGGGGGACCTCCCTCTTCGCCACGCCTCAATCCGAGAGAGCGCCCCAGGGCTTGTGTGGGGAGCCGGCGCTTCGCAGCAGCTCGCATTTACAGTGTAATTCCGATGTGTTCTTGTTGGAGCTCTGGGAGGTGCCCTTGTCCCCGATGACCCAGCTCGGCTAGGAAAGTCGTGGGGATGATGCCTGGGAGAGGGGGGCAAAAAGCAAAACGCGAGCCCGACTTGTTTGGCATACCCCTTCTCGTTGGGTACGTCATGTTGTAGCCTCAACATGTGCTGTGCGCGGCAAGATGGTATCGCTAAGATGCTTTCACTGCATAGGTATATGTGCCTGGCTCAGATGTTTTCACTGAATGGATTTTCACTCATATTTGTTTCACTCATTTGGTTTCCACTGAACTTGTTTTCGCTGAGTGGGCTCGCGAAAATGTTCTCACTGATGTGTTTTTGCTTGACTTTCCCAACTTGTGCCTGCGCCGAGGCCGCCTACGTGGCCATTCGGCTCCCAGTCTCGTGAAGAGTCTTGTCCAGTCATGGTAAGCGATGCCAGGGCCACATTCGCGGTGCACGCATTGCCGCACGTTGTTCTGCAGCAATTTGCGTTGATACAGCGCGTCTTTCCTCTGCTTGGATAGAGTGGGCCCGGAAGGCACTTTTTCGCGACGGGTTTGCTGTATTAGAGCCATCGCCAAGATTCATGCAGCTCCGCAGGGGTAATCTCGCGAGCACCTCAATATCTCATTGGCCTTCGGCCCATCTTGCCGCCGTGCTGGGTTGTGGAGAAGAGGCATCTTAGAGGCCTCGTGGGGTCTATAGAGAGGCCTCTCAGAGGTCTTTTGGAGGCATCTCTGGTACCTGTTACAGAACTCTTGGAGCTCTCTTGAGGCCTCTTCTAGCTTGTGGGCTTTTGGGGGTCCTCTTGGGGGCCTCTTGGGGCGTCTCAGCTGTCCTTCGGATATGCTTCTTTGCTGGGTGGTTTCCAGCGGCGAGGCGAGGCCGCGCTTGTGGAGTCCCATCTTTCGAGCTGTCTTCGTGGCACCTTGAGCTCTCTGAGGGCCTCGGGGGCCGTCTTGGGGCGATGCTGGATGCTTCTTGCGCCATCAGGAACGCTCTTCAGACAGAAAACCAAGAGCGCTTCAATGAAGCAGCGACGGTGTTCCATTAGCTTTGCTGGCATCTTGAGCTGACCTCCTGGGCCTCCATGATGGCCCAAGATGCGCCCAAGAGGTCTTGACGCCAGGCCCAATGGGCCCTTCCATGGCCTCGGGAAAGGCGACGCTGCGAATTGCAAAAGCGCCCAGGAACTGCGGGAATCTGGAGTCTGAGCCCCTCGAAGAGCGCTTACAATTTTCAACTCAGGGAGCTCGAAGAGAGTTTAGGACACCACACTGTGTGCCCAGCGGCACAGTGGCGGACTCGGCGAATGTGCAATGCACTGGTGCCGTCATTACTGTTTGGTTTACTCCTGTTTGGTGGGGGCGAGTTCTCTGTCGTCTTCACGGTAGGGCTCTAATGTGCACCGTATCCGGTCATGTTTCAAGCGCGTTTGCGGTTCAGCCCTGCACAATGTGATTGCGAGAACGCTTTAAGGTCATAGCCGTCTCGACGGTTGCAATCACATTCGTTTCGATTGCCCGACCATCAACCCAATATATACATTATAAATATAAAGATATGTATTGCAATGGCGTGCCATAGATTCTTTGTTGCGTGGTGGAGAGCGGGAGGAGATTGTTTTTTTATCCTCTGGGGGGTAACGCTCGTTACCCGGGCCTCTCCCCCCCCCCCCCCCCCGTAACGGTAACGCTCGTACGCGGGGGGGGTCTCGGTCTTCCCCTCCAACATGCTGGTGCCCGAAGGCATGCGCACTGTGGTGTGGTGGTCGCAGGCGCACTGTGGGCGCTCGCAGGCCATTGCGGCGCTCGCATGCGCGATGCTGGTGCTTGCGGGCTTTGCGCTTGTACTCGAATCGTCGTCGTCGTCGTCGTCGTCGTCGTCGTCGTCGTCGTCGTCGTCGTCGTCGTCGTCGTCGTCGACGGCGCCCGAAAACGGCCTCCGGAGGCCGAAACAGGCGGCAAACGTCGTCGTCGTCGTCGTCGACCTCGTCGCTCGTCGCTCGTCGATCATCGTCGTCGCGCGCGCGGGCGCGGGCGTGGTGCCGGGACCACGCGGCGGGCTTTGCGCTTGTACTCGAATCGCAAGCCACTGTGGTGCTCTCAGGCAGAGAGTGCTGCTCGCGCGCATACTATGGCGATCGCAGAGCGCCCCTGCTTCGCTATACCCAGCCCAGCCCAAGCGTTACCGTTACCCGGGGGGCACGACCCCCCCCCCCCCCCCGGGTAACAAGCGTTACCGGCCGGAATAAAAAAATGATCTCGAGAGGGCCGCTGTCACTTTTGCTCAAGCCTCTCTTCCAGCGAGCTGGGGGCACCTGTCCAGGCAGAAACGCGGATGGTTGGCAGACCCTTCGTGTGGCTCCTGGGCGCAGCTACCAACCTGCTGGCGGCCTGGATATCGCGAGCGCCGCCGTGTCCTGCGGCGCCTGCTTGTCCTTTTTCGCCGGCGTGCCCGTCGGTGTCGTGCCCCAACCTCTCGTGCGGGGAGATCCCCGACCACGACGTGTACGAGGAGCGGTACGGTCAGGGGAACCCAGACATAATCGCCGTGGTCTTCAGCCCGACACGCCAGGCGCTGCAGGGTGTGGACCCGAATCTGCTGTACAGGTTCAGGTGTGAGCCGAACGCGAGGGGAACGGTCGCTATCCAGGACGCTCTCGTGCAGGTAGCCGACCAGCTGTGCTTGGACCGCGAGCGCGCTGCTGGCAGGCCGGGCGCGCTTCCCGCTGGTGGCTCATACCTGGAGTTCGACTTCACCGCAGCCGCCCCTGGACCAGGCGTTCCTGGCGCAGGCCCCGCCGCTCACGCGCCCGCGGCTGGAGCCGCCGCCGGAGCAGCGACTGCCGCGCCTCTGGTGAGCGTGGCCGGGGCCGGCGCCGTCGCCGCCCCTGCTGCAGGTCCCCTGGCGGCCGCCGCCGTGCCGGCCGCAGGCGCCCCAGCGGGCGCCGCCGGCGCAGCGCCGCCGGCCGCGGCAGGGGTGGTTGGGCCGCCCGCTGTGCTGGCCCCAGTGTGGGTGCTCACCGAGAGCACGGGTGGTGGCAGTCGTGGCGATGTTGTCCAGCTCAACGGGACCGAGCGGATCGAAGGTGACATCGTCCTCCTGAAGCTGAACGCAGGCTGGGTTGCCATCCGTCGGATCTCGATGGACCCATCGGTGTACCGATGCGCGGAGAGCGGGGCGGACATCAGGCTGCTGGGCGTACCACCTCGACCCGACGGCTCCAGGCAGCGACTGGCTTGGCGTGAGGCTGTGCCGATGATGGTAGAGAATCCCATCCCGGGGTGGCTGCTCGACGGACCTCGGACCATGCTCTGGTGCGCGCAATTCATCGACATGAAGCGGAGCGGCCCCGTGGAGCACTACAACAGCTTCGTTGCCTTCTATCATCTCACGAAGGAGGATTACGGGGTCGCTCATTATGAGAACATAATGAAGATAATCGAACATCTCGGGTGCTGGGATCAGTTGAATGTTCCCGACTTGGTCGGGGCGGAGCTGGCCATTCGTCAGGCACAGCTGTGCGAGTACATCTACTCCATGGAGTTCGAGGCGCAGCAGTCGAAGGGCCCCAAGGACGGCAACGAGGGCGACGGCAAGAAGAGGGGCCGAGGTCGGGGAGGAGGGCTCCACCGATCCGGCACCGTGGACGAGGCGGCGGTGTTCACAGGGGCGGCCAAGGAGGATGGCCGTTCCATGATATGCCCGCTGCTGCTGGAGCATGTCTCCAAACAGGTGGAGCGCGACGCAGGGATCCTGAAGCAGATCAGGAAAGCCCGTGAAGAGCGTCGCGCTCTGTCATCATGAGCGACGCGGACGGCTCTCGGGTACCCCTCGCCCGAGAGTCAGCCAGGCCGAGAGAGGGGGCGCCCGTGGGCCTCGCGGGTGCAGCAGATCTACCTGTACATGAGGCTTCCCACTCCAGCGCCGACCTTCGCCAACGTGATCTCTTTCCTTTCCCTTACTTTGGCGCTGGAGCTTCTTCTCCTACTACGTCTTCCCCGCCTTCGAGGTCAGTGCGCAGGCGCCTTGAGAAGCGGTCGCACGTTCACGGCATGGTCGAGGAGATGACCGTCGCGCTGAACGAACTGTGGGGCTGCCCGCCTGCGGCGCGCCGTCAAGCGCCCGCAGGCACGCCGGTGCCAGCCGCTGGCCACGCCCTCGTCCTCTCGGAGCTCCGCCAGGCCGCTGTGAGGTTTGGCCCGTGCCCAGAGGACTTGGACGGTCCAGGAGCCCTCGAGGAGCTCCGGATATCTCAATCATACGAGGGTGACGCCACGTTGGTTGCCCCGGTGAGCTTCGACCTCGTCGACTCCATC